GATCTTATTTTTGATGCTGAGTGCTGTTGACCTCCACACAGACTTGAGAGTAGTGAAAACTTGTCTTGCTTTTCCGATTCTTGCTTTGATATCCTCGTCAGGTCCGTCAGCCTGCGGTTGAAACGATACTTACCAGGTAGGTAAAAGAGATTGTTTCTTTCAGGTTCCTTCCATTTATGCTGATCGTTGTCTGTTGTTGTTGAATCTTCATCACCTCTGTTTTCTCTATGTTCACCTGAAGTCCTATCTTTGTTGCTTCTTCTGCCAAGTTATTGCTTTTCACTTGCATATCTTCTGTCTGTCTGTCTGTCTGTTTTCGACATAGAACTTTGCACATATGTGCGGCAGTTCAAGTCGCCACAATCTATGTAGCACGCAAAGCAAGAGAAAGAACTAGAAGAAATGCATAATATAGACAGTAAACACAGGTGAGAGACAAAGGAATAGTAGTAACGAAGAACAATATAGTTTCATTGGAAATCATAAGTCACAAGGAGTGGATACATCTGCACCAGCCATTGAGAACGATGAGTTTGAGCCATATCACCAATTGTTTCCAACCATTGGATTTTATCGTCCCGAGGACCCCAACCAGGAAGTCTACACCTTCCTACTTGGCTTAGACTAACTGTTGTGGATTTCATTGACTGGTGTCATTTTTTTGTTTGACCACCGCTAGCTCTTTTCCAGCCTGACCCTATGTCAGCTAACATTGCCCGTCGAGGGAGGCGATGACTAGGCATACGTAACACATGTCTGAACCATCTCAGTCGATGTAATTTCACAGTCTCATCGATTGATTTCCCCGCTTTACCTAGCACTCGACGCCTAACCTCAATATTGCTCACCTTATTATACCACTTCACGCGGGAGATAGAACGCAGACACCTATGATCGAAGACAGCTAATCTTTTCATGTCTTCTGCTCTCAATGGCCCGGTCTCACAGCCATAAAGGAGGACGGAGCGGACTGTTGAGCAGTACACACGCCCTTTGGTCGATAGTCGGATATCGCGTCTACGCCAGAGACGGCGAAAACTGGTGAATGCGAAACTAGCCCTCTGTATTCGTGCTGAAATTTCGTCTGAGATCAACCCGTTGAGGCTGATGGTACTTCCCAAGTAATTGAAGCGGTCAACGTGTTCTACCACTTCACTTCCTATTTCTAATCTAGGGGTCGATGAAGTCCAATCCTGCAGCATCATTTTACATTTAACAGGGGCGAGTTGCATGCCAAACATACGGAGATTGTTGCTCAGGGTGTTCAGTAGACTCTGCATTTTGTCAGTGTCCTCGCCTAGAAGGACTTTATCGTCCGCATATTCTAAGTCAACGAGATTATTCCCTGGTAGCAAGTCAATCCCTGAGTCGCTGAAGTGTGATAGGGTTAAGTCCATTAGTACGTCTATGATGAAATTGAATAGGAATGGGGATAATGGGCATCCTTGACGGACGCCACTAGTCGTCACCACTTCAGATGACAACTCGCCATAAGCCCTCACCTGGCTGCATGAGTACGAGTAGAGTGCCTTAATCAGTGCAATGTATTTTCTTGGCACTCCCTTTACAGCCAAGCATCGCCAGAGGACCTCTCAGTCGACAGAATCGAATGCTGCCTTTAGGTCAAGAAATATAATGATTGTCGGTCGCCGGTAGGAATGCCTATGTTCTAGAATCTGTCGAAGGGTGAAGATGTGATCAATACACCCTCTACCTGGCCTAAAACCTGCCTGGTTTTCTCGTGTTTGTGCCTCCCGAGCACCACTTAGTCTACGCAGTATTATTGAGCCTAGGATTTTAGATACTATATTAGTCAAGCTAATCCCTCTGTGATTATCACAAGAAGACTTGTCTCCCTTCTTGTATATCGGGATGATCAGTGACTTACACCAACCCGATGGGACTTCCTCTGATTCCCAGACGCTGCCTAGGACCTCCGTTAACGCAGACAGTAAACTGTCTCCTCCGTACTTAAATACCTCTGGAGTCAATAAATCAGGTCCCGCTGCTTTGCCTAGCTTCAGATTGGTGACAGCTTTAGTAACCTCAGTTAAGGACGGAGGACCTGTGTCTATCTCCCATTCAGGGAGGTGTTGGATGTCCGGTAGGTTAAGTGTGGCTGTGGGCCAATTAAACTGCTCCTCATAGTGTTCTTTCCAGCGCTCCAGACGTCTATCCTGGGAGCTAATTAAGGTGCCATTTTTCTCTAAGATTGTTTCGCTTATCATTTGCCTTTTACCATATATTCTAGTTTGTGGGAAATCAAACATATATATATCATCGGTGAAGTCCAGATCTTCCAGGTATTTTTTGTGAGTCCATTTTATGCCTGTTTCCCCTTTGCCCTCTCTTCGTCACATTATACAATCTACTGCAATCAGGAAAATCATTGGCGATAGTAGGCAACCTTGTCTTACCTATGTCCTCACTTCGAAGGATTCCGTAAGTTTCCTGTTGTGGATTACTTGACATACAGCATTGTCGTACAGCTGTTGGATGAGATGTATAACTCTTGGCGGCACTCCGTAGTAGCGAAATAGTTGCCAAATCACCTCTCGATCGACGCTGTCGAATGCCTTTATAGTGAATTCTCTCTGCGTACATAGATTTGCTTTTAATCGTTTGATGGTGATCCCTTCAGTACAGTGTAGCAAGCTAGGTGTGTCCTACCAACTGACTAATTTGAACCACACTGAATGTCACTGAGGTCATACAAAGCAAAACGCCTGAAATGCCTATCTCGACCTAACTTGAAATATATATACTAGTGTTCTCATTCCCTCAGTTCAAAGTAGACTAAGTCGGACAGAATTCAAATAATCGTTCAAAATCCATCTGCATATATTGAAGCTTACATCATTATTTGTCGGAATTAACAAAAAGTTCGACGATTCACACTATGAATATATTGTTGTCCCTCTTGTATTCCAAATGGAACATAGACCTTCAACAGCATATATTCACTTCGTCCTGTCCTTTGTGGTTCTCTTCATTTGGCCCCCCGACTGCTGATAGTCTCTCATCTTCTTCTCGAACGACCACCTCCACGTCACACTCGAAGTGACGCCCAACTCGGAGTTCCCCAGTGGAGGGCCCTGCAAGTGACGTAAAATGATGGTCTTCTTAGCAATATGCCCGGTCCACTTCCGTTTTCTCCTACATATTTGTTGGCCGACATTGTCTCGTCTGTTGGTTCGTTCCTAGCTAGAGTTTCTTGGTGCTGATTCTTTCTAGCTAGCCATTTGATGAACAGTATAGAGAGAAGGCAGCTGGTGATAAAATTGTGCAGTAGACTGTTTAAAATGCTTTCCATGACACGCTGACCAAGTCTTTGAGCCACATAGGATAAATGACTGGCATAAGATTTATGCTGAAAATCCAAATCGTGTTGTTTATGCTGAGTGAAGACGAATTCAGAGTGAATAAGGTCTCGATTGCCTTTTCGGTTCTGGCCTTGCCATCCCCATCCGTGCCACCTCTAGTCGAAATGATGCTTCCTAGACAACTGAAGGAAATAACGTCTTTCAAAATACTCCTGCTGATGATGGTTTGTGCCGTGCGATCCTCTGTTGGTTATTTCCATCACGTTCATCTCCTCTATGTTCAGTTGAAGTCCTCTCTCCCTTGCTTTCTCCTCCTTTATTTTGTAGTTTTTGCCTTTAAGTCTTTGAGTTTGTGTGTGGCATTAAACATAAACCATTCACGAAATCCAGATCTCTTCTAGAATCCATTCCCCCTCCCTCTAAGATTCTAAACACTTCTATGCCATATATATTCACATTTCTTTGGCTCCCTGGTCTGCTTCCCCATCTTTGTACATTGCATGAACACTCCACATCCCCACTCTCAATTTCGCTTTCATCGAAAGAAGACGCATTGGCTGACTAACCGGTTTCACAAAGATTTCACCAGCCAGTCTCTGTGATTCCAGTGAAAAATAATTTTTTTTTTAAATATTTTTAATATTTCGCTTGTGTTTTGAAGTCTCTGTAGCAGTTCGACTAGTTTATCCAGATATGATAGCTAGCCCTACACCCAACCCTCACTCTCTTCTTGGGCTTGGAACCGGTTACAAAACTAGCGAGCTAGTATTTTTTTCAGTTTGATTTTGATTTGCAACAAAGGGTTGTTTAGTCTCTTTTGAAATGTCACCCACTAGTACAGACGCTTCGGTTCAACCAGTCAACGGGAAAATCGAAATTAGATTGAAAACTGTAATAATAACTGGTGTCCATTGGATAAGTGGTACCTCGCCTAGCCTAAGTGGTCTACTAGCTGATACCTTAGCATTTGAATCGATGAGTACTGGGTTCGAGTCTGAGTGGGAACGCCATCATCACCACCCACTGGGAAATGTAGGTACACAACCAGATGACGAGTCGCAAATAGGACCAAATACTCGTTTTCACGCAGCTCGAAGCTCTGGATTTCTTTGGATCGCATGATGGATAAAACAGATTTTGTTTCCTTCACGTTCCCTAGTGGAATATTGGGCTTCAGGCTAGTGGCTGAAAGTTTCTGTAGCAGTGCTTATTTTACAGGATGGGGTTGCTAGCCTCATGCCCGACCTTTTCTCTTCACCAGCATTATTTCTGGTTTAGCGTGGTATAGCAGTGCGTCGGCCGGGGATCGAACCTCGGACCATGTGCATCGGCGGCGAGCGTCCTCACCACTGTGTCACCAACGCGGATAAAACAGATCCCTCACATTAATCAAGCTAAGAGAACAGAAAATATATTTATTTAAGTTATTTATTCATTTGTGGATAAACAACCAAGGTCATCCGTCTCCAAGTTTATCGTAGTTTTTTCTAAGGATTATTTATATATTTAGGTTATTATTATCGTCACTATTATTATTATTATTTGTTTACTCATTTCCCATTGACTTTTATTGATTTTATTTACTCATCCGTTGTTACGATTGTTTTTTGTTGTTTTGTTTACGGTTATTTGTTTATCTCCTCTTTATTTGTTTGTTTTCGTTTCTTCCGCATAAAGTACCCTATGGTGGTGTTGTTAGTCTTTCGATATTGGGTGTAACATTTGGCCTACTGTTTCTTCTTTGGTTCTGTAAACGTTGTGTCCTGAGAAAACGTCGATCGAAGAAAGATGGCAAGAAGATGTCATTGGCTGGTGGCAAGTTGGCTGCTGATTTGAAAACTGCTGCGCATTTATCTGAAGTATTGAAAAATCAAGTAGGTTGTGGTGTGTGTTTGTGTGTATGCGTGTGTGTGCGTTGCTTTTGCTATTTCTGTACCCCTTTGCCCACACCCACCCTATACCCGAGGGAAGACGTTTCTCGTACATATTTGACGTGAAGACAGCAGTAAGATAAGGCTGCTGTCTATTGTCACTGGTGATATATTATTGATTTTGGTGGACTAAATAATGCGGCAGACCGTAAATGATGGGAGCGAGAAATGAGGAATACGCTGGACCCGATAAGAAGATTCTAGAAGGTTTAAACTTCTCGGACGGTTTATGTTTAATGTCACGAAACCTTGAAGACCTACAGATAGAATAATAATAATAATTTGCTTTATTCCAAAACAGTACTTGTGATACAGAATGGAATTCTCAGCATTTTACTACAGTATTGCATCCAGTTAGCACATTATCAATAAATAAAAAATTCTACATAGATCAAGGAAATCTCAATTCATTATGACAACAACATATTGGCATGTCGGTAGAAAAACCAAAAATGAACAGTGTTTGAAGATGTTGGAAAAGTAGGTGCTATCATATTTACTGGCGTAAGCGAGAGAAAGAAACAAAGCAGAACATAACAGAAAAAAAGAGAGAGAGAAAAGGAAAAGAAAGAAAGAAAACGTTGTACCTATAAATGATATGAGTTGGAAAGACGAAATCCAGTTGTTTTACTTGCTATTTAATAAGTTATAGGTATCGCGCCTAATGCTTTCTTTGTCGCACAGAACACGAGGTTAGTAGGGTATGGTTGAGTTTTTGTACTTGCTGGTGCGAGCATATAGTTTTCTATATAGGCTTCTGGTTTCGCCTGATGAGATACAAGGGGAGAGTTGCGAATGAAGAGGGTGGTGTGAGTTAGATAGAATGGATTTAGCCCATTTTTCACATGAGTCCATGTGCCTGTCAACCAAAATATTAACAAGCTGGTTAAGTGGCACGTTGCTTACCCTGCTGACAACCTTTAACATCCTACGTAATAAGATATAGTCTTTCTTCAGTAGCGCGGGAAAAACTAAGGGGGAACAATAGAGAATAATAGGCAGGATGCGAGGGTTAACGAATTTTAGGAGTAAGGGTTGGGTTATACCGGAATGTCCTAACTTCTTGATGTAGAAGGAAAGACGGAATATTTTCTTAGAAATCGTCACGATATGAGACGACCAGGAGAGATCAGCGGATAGAATGACGCCTAGGTATTTAATTTCCGACTTGGTTTCTATTTCAGAGCCACCTATGTTCCACACCTCGTGAGAGCTAACCAGTTTTTTTAGGTCAGATTTATGCCTAAAGGTGAAATTGACTGTTTGACATTTGGAGGGGCTTAAGGTAAGACCGTTTTCCTTGGACCACTGGCTGATTTCTAAAAGAAAGCCATTTAGTTAAGAGCAGTCAGTAGATGATAGAATAGAATGGAAACGAAGACGGGACTGCAAGTGAACATAAAGAAGACAAAGGTGAGGAAGATAACTAATCATAATTAATGGGGGAAATTCAAGGAAAAACACTTTATCCATTTATTTGAGCAGCACAGATGAAGATACAGAAGCCAGGACCGAAAAGGTCAAGTAAATCTGTTGTCATCGATGGATATGATCTATGTCACCAGTTGAAATGAACTCATCACCAATTTGCTATGGTTGCACCAAACTGAATAATTCTGTTACCAAGATGTTTTACGTCCTCACTGAATTGAATAACCCCGTCGCCAATCGTTATGACAACACTGAAATGAATATCTCTATCATCAAGCTGTTATGGACCTGTTCTCAATGAGTATGGTTGCGTCGACAGGTGATATATGATTGAGTGGAGTTATGTTTGGGTAAAATAATACTGTGAAATATTCCCATATCCCATGAATTAAAAGTCTATCTGAACGAAGAATATTCTTTTCAATAATTTCTCCTTTTCAGGTTCTTACAATTATAAAATATAATATTTATTGTCGTTACAATAATGGCCAGTTATGCTGTGGATACATTTTTAACGTAGAATAACAGATTAGTTATAGGGGGTCAAAGTGGTCTGTGTTAAACAGGAGATAGTAGAACTGCAATGAGAGGTTCATAATGAAATAACGAATGTGTGAAATGAAGAAAAAGGTGGAGGCATATATTGAGAAAAGAGATAATATCACTAATAATAAGTCCGGATAGTAGAAACGAAAATTCGATAGTATTGAGAGAATGTTTGCATGAAGGGCATAGATTATGACGAATAATAATAATTGTAATAATAATATTCGTAATAATAAGCATAGGAAAAAAATCAAGACGGTCGAAGGGAAGAAGCTCATTGATATATTACTCATTGATATAAGAATAAAACTTGTGCACTGTGGTAGAGTGTAATTCCATTATGGGTAAATTTTGTTTTGATAAAGTCTCACAGTGTTATACAGTAATGTTTACTGATGATTCTGAGCGAAAAATTGTGCTCGAAACGTCATCAGTAAACATTACAGTATAACACTATGAGACTTTATCAAAACAAAATTCACCCATAATGGAAGTAAGTCAGGTGTTGTCTGAAAAATTATCAGTGCGATGATGATAACAGTAAAGACGGCGATGATGAAGGGAAGACGTGAAATGAATTCAAGTGGTAAAATAAAAGTTAGATAAAAGAACATTACTATGACCAAGGTAGAGAAGCGGGTTTAACAGAACGTTTTTGAACACATAATTTAGGTTTCTGTCTATGTATAACTAGAGCTTCGGCTGTGTATGCATGCATAACTGGAGAGAATGTAAGTTGTGGAGTGGTTTGGATTTCGTCCTGTAAATAACTTTGAAGGATAAATCACGTGAGGCTGAATCACCTGACTTCAGAATGCGTTGACGAATTGAATACTTCGTCGTCCTATACTCACCTTTCATTAACTAAACAGTGTAGTGTTCAGCTACGCGTTTACGGAGAACATGCTTGCAACGTTCGATGCTATCAGCTCCACATGAGCAAGTGAATTAGTATATGCACATGTAGGTGGACATAAGCGATAGTTTTTCCTTGAAGCATTGTCGAACCATATTTTGGCTTTAAAATACTAAATGTGTAGGTCTAAGTAACAATGGTTATCAATAAACCAAAGAAGAAAGGTAACAGTACATCTACCCTGGTCGGTGTCAAATCAAAGTTGATCAAGAAAGGTTTAGTGTGATGATGAATTTGTACTTTGAACGCATTAGGGTGGTCTAAACTTCCTAATTGCCAACTAGGGCTTCCAAAAACTTTGGGATACACCATCCCCCAAAAACGTTTTATAGATAGGTGTGAAAAACGTGTGGAAACATCAATTTTTGTCCCGTTTCCTCTGTAATATGTTTCACAATCGAGGAGCTAGTTCGTCTGTTCTCACCATTAATGGGTTCTAGGAATTCTACTTACTTCTGAAGTTATTCAGGAATATGCTCTGAAGCCAGCCCTTACTCGCAGAAATCGATGAGTCCCAACTATGTATGTGTGGCCACACGTACATTTAAAATGGTTAAATACAGTGGGATGTAACATTATTTTTCTCAATTATATAGTTTATACCCTGAGGGTTCAAGTTTAAACAAAAATAAATGTTTGCCTACAGTGGCAAAGGAGTTACGTAATAAGGAAAAGAGGTGAATAAGTAGGCGGTACGTAACCAGTAAGCTACATAAGATTATGATGAGTTCAACTCAAGTCATAAAAAGAAAAGATGAAAGTTTGAAGCTGAAGGTTACGTGATTAAACTAGAAGGAGAGTAAAGGCATTCACTTACTAGAGCAAGCAAAGACTGACAGTCGCTTCCTTGTTTGGAAACATAAATTAGGTCCCAAGAGTTTGATAGCGATTGCTTAGGGAAACTTTAGAATGATTGAGCTATATTGTCCATCAATAATTTTAATGTTTTCAAGATGTTCACTTTATGACACATATCCTCGAGATGCCTGAGACCAAGTCTTTTTAGTTAGTGTTTAGAAAGTCGAAGGTTTATCTTCTTTCTCAACTTCCAGGGTAGCTGCTACTGCAGATATGTGTAAATTTGCATACAGAAAATCTCCTAAAGTTGGTACTAGATGGTTGCAGGCAATCGGTAAGAGGCCTTTGGAACTAGGCCTCGTGCAAGTTGACACCAGTCATCAAGGTGTATCTTATGTCTTGAAGGAATTACTTATGTCCCTTCTGAGGTTCAAACTCACATCACCTAGTGTTGCAGTCAGAGATATTACCATTGAGCCGTTCGGGCCCGCGAATGACCTCCTGTGGGACAGTATTGGATAAATTTTTGATTGAACACTAGTGAGCAACTAGTGTAATATGTCTAATCCTATTTTTGGTTCGGACTGAACTCCATCAGCCAAGTTTGCAACGTGGCCACCATGCTAGCTGGCTTGCTGACAATGTCTAATTAACACGAGAGCTAGGTCCAAGGCTTCTTGCCGATTGCCTCCAAACATCTTATACCAACAATTCACAGTGCACCGTGATGGCAAGCCACCTAGTGGCATGATGGTTACATTGCAAACTTGACTAATAGAATTCAATCTGAACCGAAGATAGGACTAGATGCATCATCCTGCAGCATGGTTAAGCAAAGGGACAGACAAGATTTATTCGTGGATAGCTCTGTTTAGTACACCATCTTGTAGATAAATAGTGAGAATAAAGTTGACGTTAAATACAGCACTTATCAACACAAATAATAAAAGTGTCATCCATGTGTCTCTTATGCACAAACGGACTCTAGACAATTTCTTTCCTTGGAGAATTCTCTTAACCCACGCTGCTAAACTTCAGGTAAGTGTGATCCTAGTAAAGGCTCTATAACAACTCACCTCCCCCCCATTAGTTAGTTATAGATGACATCATTAAATCTAAGGTGCATATTAAACGTGCATTCCAACGCTTAAATAAATGGATACTGTAGAAGCTTTATTGAGTGGAAAAAGTATGAAGAAAGAAGCCTTTCCACTCAAAGATGCTCAAAACTATCGTTGAAGTTTTTAAAGATCGACCATTCAAGTACATTAAACGCTCTTTCGTTATGCCACCAAATAACACCTAGTATTCTGTAGCCAAAGTATGAATCAACGCTTATTTCCATCTCTGTGTATATATACACTTATTCAAATGCTCTTTTGGAGCTATTTAAATAGAAGACTTTTTCTGACCGTCTCAAACAGCCATTTAAATATTTGAGACGGCTACTGAAAAGATTTATATACATATATATGTCTCTTGTCGTTTGTTTGTAATACAGCCGCCATGCTAGGCGACTCGCCATCACAGTCAACTCTGAGCTGCTGTTACTAGATGGTTGGAGGCAATTGTTAGGAAACCCTGCTTGACCTAAGTTTCGTGTGAGAATAGCTTAAGGGTTATGTCTCTGACTGCAACACTGTGTGATATAGGTTCGAATCTCAGAAGGGACATAAGATTTTCCTTCAAAACATAAGATAAGCACCTCACTGACGAATACCAACAGGCACGAAACCTAGGTTCAAGGCTTCCTGCCGATTGCCTACATAATACAAACAATTCATGGTGCACCTCGATGACGAGCCATCTAGCATGGTGTTCACATTGAAAACTTGACTGATAGAATTCAATCTGAACCGAAGACAGGACTAGACACATTACACTAGTTACTAACTATTGTCTAAACAAAAAAAAGATTATCTCAGATAGACTGGAAACTGCTCTATTTATCCTGTTTTATTCTGAATAATCGCTCGAAGGATATTCATTCATTTGGATCATTACTATTTCCGTAACTTTGTTCATCAGAAGAGAGATACTCCTTACAAGCCAACTATCACTAAGTGAGTTTATAAGTTAGTTAAAATCCATGGTTCCTTTTTCATGAAAGCTATAAGACAAACTCTTCATAACCCCCAGTTTTTCTCACTCTCCCTCTTTCTCGGTACTTTCTTCTCATCTAGGATACTGTTGCTCTGAAATCTGACATGGAAATGAATGAAAGTGAACAAGCTGGTGAAAAAGTGAAACAATATTGTGGAAAACTTCAATTCTCACTGGATTATGACTTTCAGAAAGCTGAGGTATGTACAGAGATATGCGCATATTACGTAATCACTGCTTTTTTTCCACTCCTACATCCCCCATAACTTGCTCACAAGTAAAAACAAACTGAATAAGTTGACTTACCTGCGATATTTTGTTATGAATAATTTAAAGTGTATACTGACTGAATTGATGATTGAGTACAACTCAGAAATGTGAGTGAAAAGGAAGAAGACACAATCATCACATCAATTCAGTCTGTCTATCTTCCCATCTGGTTAGGCAGATAACTAATCCTATGAATTTTTTGTTGGTGTGAGTTTTTATACTACTTATGTTGTTCAATTTCAGTAGTATAGTTTATCTTTGTATTATTAATATTATTGTGTTTTGTGAACATATGTTCAGCTGATGCATGCCAAAACAGAGAAGAAAAAAACATGCACATCGATGTCTGAAAATAAGTTTAACCAAAAATATGGGTACTCATGTTGGCATAGGTAAGACGAATGAAAAAGTATCATTTGAGATGATGGTAAGGAAATGCGTTTGAGTGTGTCTAGTTGACGGGTGATCATGGATCGATTTAGGAATCAGCTACACTTTAGATTTTCAGTTATTCAACTATTGGTTTGTAGGGATTTGGTTGATTGGTTACAGGATTTCATTATGCGCTGACATTGGTTAGAGAACCGTTGAAAAACCAGCTGGGAGTACTGGACAGCTGTTTCGTTCTAGTTTGGGACTCTTCAGCAGTGAGCACTCACCGAGGTTCGAACCCAGGACCTTCTGGTTACAAAGCGAGCTCGTATACCATTAAGCCACTGGGACCCGATCCAGTGGCCCATGAATTCTAACTTCTGCCAATTCACGATATAGCGCAACGCTAGCCAATATCTTCGGCGAGTATTTGTCCTCACACCCGACCTGCTGCACCCTGCTGGTCATGACTTCCCACTGAAACCCCAGGTATCTAGCTACCTGAATAGGACCAGTCGCCAGTGAGTACCTCATTGGTATTCAAGTATTGGTTTGTATGGATTTGGTTGGTTAGTTACAGGATTTCATCATGAGCTGACATTGAATTGGCAGAAGTTAGAATTCATGGGCCATTGGATCGGGTCCCAGTGGGTTAATGGTCTACGAGCTCACTCGCCTTGTAACCAGAAGGTCCTGGGTTCGAATCCCGGTGGGTGCGTACTGATGAAGGAAGGCGAACTAGGACGAAACAGCTGTACAGTACTCCCAGATTTTTAGTTGTTACTTTGCAACGGTTTGACTGACATCAGTTAGAGAACCAGTGAGTAGTTGATAGCTGTTTCGTTTCAGCTTCTGGCTCTTCATCAGTATACATCCGTGACAGCAATGGGGATCGAATAAAGGATCTTAAAGCTAATAGGAGAGATCGTAGGCTGTTCAACCTCTAGGATGGAATCCAACAGCCCGTCACTTCTAGACTTTTTGTGCTTGGGAAATGAAGTGCGACCAGCAGCTAATCTATGTGTTCTCAGATCGAATCTGGCTGACCCACTGGTCACAACTTCTCACTTGGACTGAAGTCAACTTCACATTGTAGCTGGTCACTAGTGAGCTTCAGATTAATTTTTCAAGAGTTAATTTGCAGGGATTTGAATTGATTTGTTTCCAGTTTGATCAGTGATCAATATCAGTTAGAGAACCACTGAGTACCTTCCTGACGATTGTTTAGTTCCAGTTTGGGATTCTGAAGCATCATACACCCACAGGGATTCGAACCCAGCATCTTCAAGTTCCGATTCCGAACCCGTCGACCATCCAGCCTCTTGAGGCGGGATCCAGTGGTTCATGAATTCTAACTTCTGTCAATTCATGATTCTTAGCGCCCCCTCCACCCGGTGTCGTCGTCTAGTATTTTTACATACACCCCATTCGGTAGACCCCGCTGCTTATGAATTCTTAGTGGAACTACAGGCAACTTTGTTTTATATTCATTTGATAGCATTGGTTAGTGGTGACGCCATAATCGGCTGTATGACAGAGGTTAAGGCTCATCGGCCATTGGATTCAATCTCATTGGAGGAATGGCCAACGTCTCTGACCTTGTGACCTGAAGGTCCTGGATTCGATCCCTGTTGGATGGAGTCATGGATGTGTACAGATGAAGAGTTTGTACTAAAAAGAAACAATTATCCAGTAATTACTTATGGTTTTCAACGGTTCTCTAACTCACCTGAATCCGTGATCAAGTCATTTGTTTACTGTGGTGAACTGACAGAATTTAGTATTCCTACCTAAAGGCTGAATGATAATGATCGCAACTTGCAAAACTGGAAGTTGTTGACTCGATACCTAATGAAGGGAGAATACGGATGCATGATATTGAGAAGTTATACAATGGGATGAAACAGCTACCATATCTGGTTTTGTATAGTAGAGTCTAAAAGCCATTGATTTGTGCTGAAACCTGCCTTGAAGACAAAGTGTATGCTTCAAAAAACAGGGTTGAAAAGTGCTGCACATATGATTAGATTATTCAGACACATTCAGACTGTTGCAGCGAAGAAAATTTTCTTTTCGACGAAGTCATCGTCTAAGCTGTACATTCGTGTATTTACATCAAATGCATGGGAAAGTTTCAGAATAATTTCCGGTTAAGGTTCAAATTAATAAAATTACAATTAGGAATTAAAATGACATAATAAACAGGAAGGAGGGACGGATAAAACTCAAACAAAGCAGAATCATAATTACTGAGAAGATTGATATTGTGCATTTGGGGGTTAGAAATGTAGAAGTAACAAAATAGATAGGAAGTTTGGATAAAAAAACTAGTGTGACGAATAACTGTTTATGCAATTAGGGATTAAATATGTAGAAGTAATAAAATGACAAAATAAACAGGAAGTGTGGATATGAAAATATGGTAGTGTAGACAGGGATTGAGAAAACTTAAAATAACATGAATAAACAGGAAGTTTAGATAAGAAAGGCGATGGGATGGTCATTATTAAAAATTTACCTGTTTACGATGACCATGGGAGGGACAGGGGTTGGACGTATTTCTTTTGGATACAAAGAGTGGGTTTGAGTTTTTGGATAACATTGAGACTGTTAATCCAATTGAATTCAGCATCACCTATGGAAAAACTGTGTTAGCTGTTTTGAGTGGAAAACAAAAAAATTGAAGTTACTTGTTTTATTGCTGGCTAGCAGTGAAATCCAGGACGTCCGTTTCGTCTTTTGTGCGTTTCAGTATCAGTCACTGTGATCTACATATTATTATTACTATTACATCCATGCGTTCCAGGTGGAACTTATATCTTCAGTGGCGAATCTCCATTTTACTCTGCTTCCAATCATCTCCTTTAGCTGGCTCCGTGATAACCTTTGTAGACTTCCATTGAATGAAAATGCTGGTGGGCATAACGCTATATTAAAGAAGTTCAGAAATCGTATGAATACTCAAAGATATGATCATGAGCAGAAATAAACTGTTCTCAAATCATAAACCAATTATTAATACTGTATCACTCACTGTGTATGTGTTCTATCAATTAAACTTATCGAATAAGAAACATGGAATGTGATAGGTCACAATGCTTCTGACATCCAAATACATGACCTTCTATAACAAGTTAGATTCGCATGTGTTTCAATCAAACTACAGTGTACCTTCGGTTCTGTGTCGGTGGCACGGCGGTTAGGATTCTCGCCGACCATGCACATGGTCCGGGGTTCGACCTCCTGTCGACGCACACCTGATATCACTGGTCGGCCTGCAAAATTTGGGCTACCGATATCGCATGCTGAAAATGCCATACTTGTACCAAAAATACGGTGTGGAATCAAGCTGTAATTAAAAAAAATAGCAACTCCCAAGATGATCGAATATTTGGAATTACTAAAATATGTGTACATGAGGAAAGCTTAACAGGGTAACCACTCCTTTAGGAAGATTAGGTAGATTGGAGAACATAATCTGAAATACAAGCGAATCTAACAGCAACATAATCTGTAGTCACCCCCTTTAACAATTTTGCTACTTTTATTGCTTCCCAATTCTGAGTAGTTATCCAATGTTAGCGGCAAAGTTGATTTCATGCATTTAATCCCCCTGATGAATTTGAATAAAGCACGGACAACAGTGGACTGTGCAGAATTATATGGTACCATCATTGTTTATTTCATTGGCTTCTCATCAGCTGCTTACACAAAAGTTTTAACATACTTGCAAATTTGTTTCATGATGTCAGTTGACAGAAAGTTCCACAGTAAGTGAACAGTGCTCAGAAAATTGCGCTTATATATTTTTTACACAGACAGTTCAAGTTTGAACAAAGTAAATGTGTGCATACAATGATAAAGGAGTTACGTAATAAAGACGAGAGATGCGTTAGATGCTGAGTGACTGATAAATTAGGAAACAACGAACTCAGTTCAACTGAAATCATAGAAACAAGAGACAAGCAAAATTACACTGTATCAAAGAGGTGAGGTTAAAGCCAAAAATTACGCAATCAAATGAAACGAAGAATAAAGATATCCAGTTACCAGGCAGGGCTAGCAAAGACTAATAACCGCTTCCTCCTGAACACATAAATCTGGTTTCAAGCGTTTGATAGAAACTGATTTGGCAGATTTGAGGAGAATCGAACTTCCTGTCAACTGACATAATGTAAAATTAGCAAGCATGTTAAAGCTTTTCAAGTATTGGTTTGTAGGGATTTGGTTGATTGGTTACAGGATTTCATCATGAGCTGACATTGGTTAGAGAACCATTGGAAAACCAGAGGGAAGTACTGGACAGCTGTTTCGTCCCAGTTTGGGACTCTTCATCAGTACGCACCCACACTGCAGGGTTCGAAACCGGGACGTTCTGGTTACTAGGCGAGCTCGTATACCATTAAGCCACTGAGACCCGATCCAATGGCCCATGAAGCTTTTCTGTACATCAACTCTACAATAATTTATTGAGGCTGTAAGCAGTTGATGAGAAGCCAACAAAATAAATGATGGTACCCTATTATTCTGCACAAACTACTGTTGTTCTTGCTTTATTCAGCGTCAATTTCATTGGCTACTGAAGTTTAAATGATTAAATGGGGAACAATATGTGTGTTTCATGAAAAAGGGTGTTTTCGGAAGCCCGCAGATTTCATATAGGCCACCAGTTAGCATCCCTAATGATGTATTCATCAGTATATGACCGCCTCATAGGCTTAATTTCACAAATATGTATATTCGCATGTTTTTACCCACCAACCTAAACCCTCATCTCCCCTTCTCTCTTCTCCGCATACCCTTCACAGTTAACAGTTGGTGTTATTCAAGCCTGTGATTTACCAGCTATGGATATGTGTGGTACATCTGACCCTTATGTGAAAGTGACTCTATTACCAGACAAAAAGAAAAAATATGAAACTAAAGTTCATCGAAAAATACTCAATCCAGTATTTAATGAAACATTTATTTTTAAGGTAAGCGAAATGTATTCAATTTTTTTAAATAAAAATTCTTTTTTTCTGAATAGTTTTATTTCACAAAATCAAGAAATTTCTAGAAAATTCATAAGTGATTTCACATTGGTTTAATGTGAATATTAAAGATTCAATTTACCAATTGTGCTTGTTTTAATCAACTAATTGTTCCTCAAGGTCACCCCGGAAATGACCAAACAAGCTGTAGTGCGTAAAAAGCTAATCTTCGTTCCATTAAGGATAAAATTTTATTTTAATAAAGTCACGCAGTGTTGTTATACAATAATACTTACTGATGACCACGTTTCATGCACAAATCTTTGCTGCTCACAGTCATATCAAGCCACTCCTCACACAACTTTCTTGCTTCACTTATATACATCAGTAAAATTTGAATAGATATTTGAATAATGTCAATGTAAGATGAGGTACATTCCGGAACAATAATATGTGTTATAAATAAAATCCAATCAGATGGGAAATAAGATGCTTTAATACTAAAATAAGTAACTTGTTAAAATGTTATAATGTGTGAACTGAATACATTTTAACCTTATTTATCATCCTCTGATTTGACTGGTAGTAATAATATCTTCCAAATCTCTGGTATCTGCGTTGAGTCACTTCTGTTCCATGTGTCGGGTGTAGACTCGATGAACCAGGCAGGATTCAGTAATAAACCCGTGTCGCTCTCCATCTACCTACCTATATTACTGTTTAGAATTTCGACTCTGTCCCACCCAGCCTATTGTATGGTTGTATGTTAGTGCATGCATGCAGTGCAATTGCTGAGCTATTTTCTAAATTACTTATCTTCGTGGGGTCAACCGTTCTAACCTTAGCTAAATTCTTATTTTCTGACACTCTCACTACTCTGGATCTACCAGTTTGACCTGTGTTATTAACCTCACTCATAGTCAATGCAAGATATTATGTAAATTATATTATTTTGTCCAGTTGGGTCCACAGCGTCCTTTAGCCTACAGAGCTTGAGTTTGTAGGTTTGAATGCCACGCTAATTCCTGCTTTATGAAGAGTCCTCCGTGGGGTCTCACGACAGACAGCGGGCAGCTAGGAAACCGGCCTAGAATCGACCCACACAAAAATCTTGGAGGATCTGGATTTCGCCGGAGACATATGCCTGATTTCCCACAAAGTGGAAGATATACAGGTGAGAAGCAACAAGTTGGCGACAGAAGAAGCATCCAAGATAGGACTTCTTTCAGGTGAACATAGAGAAAACAGTGGTGATGAAGACTCCTCGCCAACAGCAGCAGCAACAAAAGCAGACAACAATCAGCATAAATGCGAGAAATCTGAAAGAAGCAACCTCCTTTACCTACCCAACTGGGAAGCATCGTTTCAACTTTAGGTGGAACTGATGAAGATATTGAAATGAGGATCGGGAAAGCAAGGCAAGCTTTCATTTCTCTCAAATCTGTGTGGAGGTCAACAGCACTCAGCATGTAAAATAAGATCCGGATTTTCAACTCCAATGTGAAGTCAGTGGTATACGGATCAGACATGGTGCAGAGCTGTATCACGAAGGGCACTTCAACCAAACTACACACCTTCATCAACAGCTAGCTGTCTTCGCTCAATACTACTCAAGATCAGATGGCTGGCCAGAAAAGATCAGCAACAGGGATCTCTGTCAATGAACCGACGAACCAACCCAGCAGGAACCAACTGTACAACAAATATGCAGGAAGAAATGGAGGTGGATTGGCAGTACTCTGAGAAAACAAACCGTCGCCAAGTGATTTCACACACCAGGCCTTCGCTCAAGTGGAACCCGAAAGGTAAGTGGTGAGTTAGTTGGTCGTCAGTGCAAGGGTGATTTGGAGGAGGTCATGTGAAGAGGAGATGAAAGCATATGGGCAGACATGGAGTCCGGTGAAAACGTTATCAGAGAACCGAACGAAATGGATACGCGTGGCTAAAACCCTATGTTCCTCTAGGAACTAAAGGAAACAATAATATAATAATTATACTGTAGATGCCTTATATTATTTCTTATTTATTTTGTGTGAGTATCTTGATACGATTATGAGCGGCAATAAATTGTACTCAAATCATGGTCATCAGTAAATTTTATTGTGTAACACTGTGTGATTTTATCAGAATCAAATTTTATCCACAATGGAATTATATACTCTACCACTGTGCCCAAGTTTCATCCTTGTACCTATCTTCATTCAACTCGATTTCAAAGGTGATGATACTGCAGAGCTAGTCAACAGAAGATTGGGTACGTCACTAGACAGAGCCTATACTGTAGCCAAGTTGGTTCCCATCTATCGGAAATATGCTGTTAGGAGCAATCAAAAATCGACAGATACCCTTCTCATGTTAACTCCACCTGTGTATACAAATTCACATGTATCTGTATAAGCAGTCACACTGGAAGAACAGGAAGAAGGGCTCACACACCTCCGATTTTCTAAGCATGTACTAAAAAGCCTTCATCTCAAGGGAACAAATGTTTTCAACAGTTCTATTGCCAGGCATTTCATTGATACGAGTCATGAGGAGGAGGATAAAAGATATTTCAAATCTATCAATAGGTAAAAGAGTTCAATTCTCCTCAAGTTTGCCAAAGTAGTCTCCATCAAGCGCCGGAAACCCAACTTATGTGTTCAGAACGAAACGGTTATCAGTCTTTCCTTGTCCTGCTGCCTAGTAATTGGATATTATCATTCTCTCTTTCATTTGATTACGTGACACCAAAAGTTCCATTGTGTGTGATTATTATTATTGTTTAGGATAATGTACCATTTTATTCTGCACAAACCTCATTTGTTCTAGGTTTATTCAAATTCATAAAGGGGAAAAAATATATGAAAAGTTTGGTGATTACATTCTCAACAGCCGCATAATTGCAATATGTATATATAATGTAGCGTAATTAGAATTATTCATTCACCTGACACATTAACGGTGAGATATAAAGGAGATAATGGTCATCTTCCTTGCCATTGAAATGTATTCTTCAGTATCAACCAGACGCTACGCATGATCTTAGATTTCAGGGCAGACTAGGTGGCAGATATCCTAAAGAGGAGAATCTTAAATTGCATAAAGAAGACCACCACTGCAGTAACCCTAAAAGTGATACTCTCTGACCGTCCACTGCTTTTTAGAAATTTGAAGGACTATTTCCGTCATGTGACCACTCCAGCGAGGAATATATGAGTCTATCTGCTGGTGTAGACCTAGGTACATAGGTGGTTTTGTGAGCATCCTTTCAAAGCGCGCCAGGGATACTACGCAGATTGGCTGCGACCAGGCAGCACCGGTTTAATCAGAAGCTCTGTAACTGAACGCCACGTCAATAACTTAACTGCATTGTGCAAACCTACGTTTTTTACATCAAGAAGTCATAATTATGACTTAAAAAGGAACTAGTTCAATGTTTGCGTCCAAAATCGATTCAGCATCGTATGATTTCTATTTCTTCGGCTTTTTGTTTCTTCCCTTTCAAATTTGTCCCATATTCAAATTGCTATGCTCCTCCTGATCATACCTATCTTTGGTAAAAACTGTTTTACATATTATGCAATCACATTCGTGTTATTATTGTCTCCTTTAGTTCCTAGAGGAACATAGGGCTTCAGTCGCACGTCTCCACTGCGTTCGATTCTCCACCAACGTTTTCACCTGGTTACATCTCTGCCCACATGCTTTCATCTCCTCTTCACATGACCTCCTCCTCTGTATCACCGTCGCCTGACGATCAACTCGCCGCTTCCGGTTCGGATTCCACTGGAGAACCAGCGTCTGATATCATTCATTTGATGGTTTTCTTAGAGTATGGCCAATCCACCTCCATTTCTTCCCGCATATTTGTTGTACAATTGGTTCTTGCTGGGTTAGTTGGTTCGCTGGTTCATTGCCACAGTTCTCTGTTGCTGATCTTTTCTGGCCAGCCATCTGAGCTTGATTAGTACTGAGCGAAGACAGCTAGCTGTTGATGAAGGTGTGTAGTTTTTTTGAAGTGCCCTTCGTGATACAGCTCTGCATCAAGTATCTGATTCGTATAGGAAGTAGCACTGACTTCACATTGAAGTTGAAAATCCGGCTCTTATTCTTCATGCTTAGTGGTCTGTTTATCTTCAATCGTATTCGTAATCCTCTATAAATTTCTGTTTTTATATCCCCCTTCATAATGAATATTCACCTCCCATCACACCTGAAAACTTTTATATCAAGCTGAAAGTGGTCATCTGCTTCAAATCACCCTTTTTTGTTACTATGTCGAGTTATATACTGACTATAACTATGCTATAACTATACTTGCAAAACTTCACAATCTAATTACACGTTCACATTTTCATGAAATTATCCTCGGTTTTATTATTGCTGCTCTTCTTATTATGATCACCTTGAATATTACTCACTAATTCATATATTCCTGAACTTTAATTCAATTATAGTCACACTGCTTCCAAAGATGGTCAGTGCTTCATAATTTTATTATTGTAATTCTGATGCCCGTTGAGAAATTACCAAAAAATTTGGTATCTAATTGAATTGTGTGTTCTCTAATAATCATAGTGGGGATATTTAAGTTGAATTTAAGTTGAACTGACTGAGGAGGGAAGAATGGAATTCCGCATTATTATTATTATTATTATTGTATCCTTTAATTCCTAGAGGAACGTAGGGCTGCAGCCGTGCGTCTCCACTGCGTTCGGTTCTCTGCTAGAGTCTTCACCTGGCTTCAATTCTGCCCACACGTTTTCATCTCCTCTTCACATCACCTCCTCCAAGTCACCCTTGCACTGACGACCAACTCGCCGCTTCCCTTTCACGTTCCACTCGAGCAATCGCTTGTCTAGTGATGTCACTTGATGGTTTCCTCAGAGTATGGCCAATCCATCTATATTTCTTCCTGCCTATTTGTTTCACAATCGGTTCCTGCGGGGCCGTTTCGCTCCCAGAGATCTCCGTTGCTGATCTTTTCTGGCCATCTGATCTTGAGTATTGAGCGAAGACAG